TCAAACTCCTGGGCTCAAGCAATCCTTCTGCCTCAGCCTCCCAAGTAGCTGGGACTACAGGCATGTGCCACCATGCCCGGCTAATTTTTTCTATATATACTTTTAGTTGTCCAGATCATTTCTTTCTATTTTTAGTAGAGACGGGGTCTCGCTCTTGTTCAGAAGGCCAGAGATGGGATATGTAAAGCATATATTTATGCATCTTCTTCTCTGGTATATAAATTTAGCAATTTTTAGGCTTAGCATGAAATGCTAGGATCCAGTTATTCCTATATATGTATTTACTTCTTTCAACTAATAATTTTTTAATAGAGTCATGCCTAATATAATATAATGACATTTCAGTCAACGACAGACTACATACTCAACAGTGGTCTCACAAGATTACAATACTGTATTTTTATTGTAGCTTTTCTATGTTTAGAAATTTTGAGATACAAAAATACTTACCATTGTGTTACAACTACCTATGGTATTCAGTACAGTACCATGCTGTACAGGTTTGTAGCCTGGGAGCAACAGGCTACACCATATAGCCTAGGTGGGGAATAGGCTATATCACATATAAGTTTGTGTAAGTACACTCTCTGATATTCACACAAGGACAAAATTGCCTAAAGAAGCATTTCTCAGAACATATCCCCGTGGTTAAGCAACACGTAACTGTATATTTATGTATAAGGTACTCTATGAAGTTCTGAGGATATAGAGATTAGCCAATGAACAGGGTTCCTGCCACATGAAGTTTATAGAAATGTTACCTTCTACACTATACAGACATTTTTAGAGTCTATTTCTTTGATTTTCCTCTTTCCATTCTCTTAATGCTTTAGTTTATTTTCACCTACTTCCTTATTTTTCAGTCTGATTGTCTGTTTATAAATAAGTTGCTATATTATCCTGACATAAGGTTTGGGGAAAACAAAATTATCCATTGTCAAAAGAATGTCTGTCTGTTCCTCCTAGCCTTTTCAACCAACTCTTCCTCTACGTCACTACTTATCCATCTTGACTCTAAGATTTTTTTCTCTTCTCAGTGACGGAAAATCTAACCACTGTTACCTAAAGAGAGTAACAGGGAAGATTTAGGATGTATTGACAGAGAAGGAAGAAAAACACTATCTTTCTCCTTCTCTTCTTTTAATTAAAATGATGCCCATATTAATAGTGGTCAAGGAAAGCATACTTTTTAAGTTTCCCAAGTTAATAGCACAAGCTAAATGAAATTAGAATATCTGAATAACTCTGGTATATAAGGCAACTAGCCTACCACACTTATGAAAAAATTAATTTCCAGAACAGATGTTTAGAAAAGGATCTCTCCAGGAGACTAACAATTTCCAAAGAGAAGAGAAGATGGGAATGCACTGTAATTTTTGCAATCTGTTTATCTCCATGGCTCCCCAACTGGCCTAGAGCACTACTGAACAGTACTTAGTAGCAGTACCAAAGCACAAACCGATCTGGCAAGGGATAACTAGGCTGTAAAACAGATGAAACATTTCAGGCAAGCATCTAAAAGACCTTGTATCTGCTTAGTTTCACACATTGGTTTCCTTTCTCTGTCTAATAATGGACAATCACCTTCCTTTAAAGTCTGTAGTTCTATTTTATTTCAGATTAATATAATTACTATACTTTCTTAGAATGTTTCCATTAATCTCTGATATTCAAAAGATTACGTTGTACTCACAATGGCTTTTTCACTAGCAAAAGTCGCAGGATAGACTTTAATCGGGTAGTACAGGGGAGAATCTCTTCTCCTGCCTCGGAACTCTCTTTGCTTAAAAGAAGAATGCAGTTACCCAAAGGATCTTCTGTGTCAGCATAGCCCTAAATAGATTTTTTTAAAAGAGAAATTATTGTTAAATTGTATACATATTGATTAACTTTTCAACTTGAAAATAAGAATGGTATTGACCTGTCGAGCAACTCATAAATTTCTTTCAATTCAGCTAAATAAAATAAACATTTTTCAAAATAACCTATATGATGT